TTCCGCTCACGTATACATCATTTAGCTTTCAAACGATGATGATGTTTCTATGATGGTTGATGCTCATATGGGGAGTTCACAATCTTATTGAAATGTATGCCACTTTTATTGAGGTTCGTGTAACTCGTGGTCTCTCATATTCCTCTCACTTTGGCATTGCATATCAAACTGGTCAAGTTGATAGCCCGACACAATTATCTGTAATGATTTCACCATTTAATGGCGGATCCAACGCCATATACCATGCCATCAAGTTCAATAGGAAGGCATTCATCTGCAACTGCTTATGATCTAAACCCACGTGGCTTCACCAAATCCCATATGGCAACATCTCTTCTACTTCAAGGGGCAGACATCATCTGCCAATGTTTCGACTTACATATGGAAATGCCAACGAGACGACAGTCTATTCACATCCCACATGATACAATGGCCTCAAGTTCAAGGGGAGGACACGCAAGCGGGAACTTATTTGACCTCAACATTGGATTATCGGAGGAACCTATCCTCCAGAAGAACCTCTTCGGGAGCCAGGTGCAGATGGTGCTGAAACGGGATTCGTTGAACCTGACTCACCACAGTTTAACGTACATTCTGATGATGACGGATGACGTTCCGATAAATACAACACCAGCCGACTTCCTGCACATATGTATGAGGCTGATTATGATGCATGTATGAGCCTGAATTTCCAGATCTTCCTGATGTTGGCAACTATGACTTCAATCATCAGTCAATGACGGTAATTTACATATTGGAATGGAGTTCGCATCGAAGGAGGAAGCAATGATGGCAATAAAGAGTTACAATATTCGTAACTTAGTTCAGTCCCGAGTTGATCGATCTAACACGGAGAAATATGTCTGCTACTGCGTCCAACGTCACAACGATCTTCCTGATGTTGGCAACTATGGACTTCAATCATCAGTCAATGACGGTAATTTACATATTGGAATGGAGTTCGCATCGAAGGAGGAAGCAATGATGGCAATAAAGAGTTACAATATTCGTAACTTAGTTCAGTCCCGAGTTGATCGATCTAACACGGAGAAATATGTCTGCTACTGCGTCCAACGTCACAACGGATGTCAATGGATGGTCTGTGTATCAAAGAGGAAGAGGAAGAACAACTTATGGGAACTAACAGATACAACGGTCCTCATACATGTGTGCAACAGGTATAAACCAGGATCATCCCAACTTGGACTCCAACATTATTTGTCAAGCAATCATGCCCATTGTGAAGCAAAGCTCTCATATAGCTGTTGCAGTGTTGATTTCTGCTATACAGTCACAATATGGGTACACTGTCTCATATAAAAAAGCGTGGTTGGCAAAACAGAATGCCATTTGCAAACTTCATGGCGAATGGGATTCCTCTTACAACGAGCTGCCCAGTTGGTTTCATGTTGTGCAAAGACTTAATCTCGGGACAATTGTTGAGTTCGAAACTCAACATCATTACGTGAATGATCGAATGGTTCGCGATCGCTGCCAATTTTACCGAGTCTTTTGGACTTACCCTCAGTGTATTAATGCAGTCAAGTACTGTAAACCAATTGTCCAAATTGATGGTACTTTCTTGTATGGGAAATACAAGCAAGTTTTATTATTGGCTGTGGTCCAAGATGGAAACCGCAATATTCTTCCTGTTGCGTTTGCCCTCGTTCAAGGAGAAGACACTGAGTCTTGGGCTTTTTTCCTTAAAAATTTACGTTTACATGTTGTCACCAGGGAACGACTATGCATTATTTCAGACAGAGGAGCCGGGATAAAAGCAGCAATGGACTCTTTGGGTACAATGTATAGACCTCCACATGTTCAACATCGTTATTGTGTCCGTCATATTGCTGCAAACTATTACGGAAAATACAAGAAGAACGATGAACGTCAGTTAGTCGTGCGGATGGGTATGTTACTTTTTCCCAATTTTTCTATCAATTTCTTATTACTTATTTATACTTCATATTAACTATTACATATTCCTAATGGCTTAGGTTACGAACTCTTACCTCAAAGGTTTGAGTCGATGCTACAAGAGCTGTTTGGCAAAAATAAGAAGGGGTGCGAGTACATTATGGACATCAGCAAAGAAATGTGGACAAATGCATATGACGGGGGGTATCGCTATGGTCATATGACAACAAACTTGGCTGAAGCAATAAATTCAACCTTAAAGGGGCGCGTCATTTACCAGTCACGGCGTTGGTCAAAACGACTTATTTTCGTTTGGGTCAACTCTTTGCAAAACTCGGTGGACAAGCTCTTACTTGGATGCAAAACGGACATATTTACCACCCAAGACTAGTAGCCGATTTACAGAAAAAAGTGGCTACATCAAATGGGATGTTAGTTACAAATTTTTCTCGCACCCGTGAATTGTTTCGTGTAACCGAAATGCCACGTCCGCTGCAAGGGATTGAAGCTAACTCTTTCAGAGTTAATCTGCAAGAGAGGTGGTGCGATTGTGGTTTCTTTCAAGCACCAAATATCCATGCTCTCATGTCATTGCTGCTTGCTCACATTCGCATTTGGACTACAAAAATTATGTTGATCCCGTATACCAACTTTCACAAGTTTTCAAGGTATAAGAATTTGAGTTTCCGCCCATAGGAAACGAAAGAGACCCAAATGAGATTCAAACTTGGCTTACAATTGTACCAGATCCATTGCTATTGAGGGACTCAGGTCGTCCAAAATCTACTAGAATACATTGTGATATGGATATTGGAGAAGTCAACAGAACAAAAACGATGGGCATTGTAGAAACATCGGGCACAATAGAAAAAAATGTCCAGCTCTGTTATCATCATATAACCGTTAACTCTTATGTAATTAAAGTTTTTAAATGAATGTTTTTATTTCTAATAATTTAATGTTATTGCATTTATATAATTTGTCAATGTATGTACACCTAAATAATTTTTTTTAACTCTTAAATACATAAATATATTTAATATATTTATTTAATATAATATTTAATATTATTAGTTATATTTTTAAAATAATAATAATTCCACCTTCTAAGTAGAGAAAAATATTAAATTAAACAAATTAAAAGTTATTAAAAAATTTATGTATACGATGACACATTTCATGTTCTGATTGGAGGATTAAATTTATTAAATTAAATTTTCAATAAGACTAATTTTATAAAATATGTAAGTCTTGAAGATTAAATATGTAATTATACTAATTTATTAACTTATGCATCAATATTTTCGTTAAATATTGATATGAGATGACTAGATTGATTGATAACATTTAAATAATTAACTGATAAAATTAATAGATCAATAATCAAAATCAAAAATACTCGAAACTTGATAATTCTTACATTATAATCGAAACATTTTACATAATATATTATTAATTTATAATAATAATAAAAATAAACTATTTATTATAAAATAAAATACTCAGCGAAAAACACGGGTAAAGCGCGCCCCCGGGGACGCGCCTTTGCCAACTTAGTAGAAAGGGTGCTAGTTCTGGAAATATTGGTCAAACGGTGTCAGAAAAGTAAAATTATAATCAAACGGTGTCAGTTATGTAAAAACCCCCGATATTAATGGAGTTAGGAGTAATAGAGAGGGTAAAGGACGCTAGGGGAGATATTAGAGTACAAAGTGAAGAAAGGGAAAAGAGAGGTGTTGGGTTGGGAAAAGGAAGAGTGGTGATGACGGTAGGAGGGGCGGGGGCGAGAGGGTAGTTTTGGCATATTACTTAATTTATTGTTTTAATCGATTTTTATTTATTCAAATAAAGAAAATTAAAATTAGAATGTGACATGACATGCTTTGATTGATCATTGACTTTTTTTTATTAACGGAGTTAATGATTTAATGTAAACGAGATAACATTTTAATTTTAGCGAGTAAAATGTTTTAAAAAATATTTTAGAGACCAATTTATTATAAATGTTATACTTTATGTGGCGGCGATGCCTTATTATTTTAACCATTGCTGAAGTCAATAACACAAGTTGATATTGAGAATATTGAAGATAATACCGATTTAACAATCCTATTAAAGAACGACTTATACGAAAAATCCCACATACATGTGAAACTCTTAAACGAAAAAGACATCACCAGAAAATATCAACCTTTTTTTTATATTTTTGCAATACTGTATTAAATTCAATATAAATATTCTATCAATGTTATAAATATTTTAATTTTGTTTTATTAATCTTATAAATATTTTATTTTTATTTTATTAGAACTATAAATATTTTTTTATTATTTATCCTTTATTTTAATTTTTTATTTTCTGTTCGACGCTAAGGAATCACCTTTAATTTGTACAAATCAAATGATGATTGGACTGTCGTATTAGTGGAAAGGGCGTTCTGTAGAAAATATTTTTCAAAGACACTTCCTATAGTATAAATTCACCTTACGTGGTCGAAAAGTTAATTTGGTGTATGGTAAACATGTTCATGGATGATTAATTATACCGTTTAATCTAAATGATAGATTGATTATTATAATAATTACGAAATTTTTTAACTATAACCTAACCGTTAAGAAATGATTAACCGCTAACGGTTAACCATTATTAACAATTTGATTTCAAATTAACCTATGGTGAACATATTACAATTATTTTTTAATATAATGCAATATGAACTTTTTAAAGTTTCATAATTCATACTAGAAAAGTGTTAACATTTAACACATTTACATCGGTACAAGTGAATAAAATAAAAAAATATAACACTCGACGCATACTATACTTACACCGGTCTAAGTATATTTATCTCACAAAAAGCATAATACTTAACACATACTTACACTAGTATATATACATCTCCCAATATAATTATAAATATAATTTATTTAAAGGTTAACCAACCAAAATTCATAGTCGTAATCTTAATCAATAACCATCATCTTTAGCGATTCGGTTAACCAAAATTATTTAACATTATCGGTTCAGTTAATAAACCTGTTAAATGTAACGATTAACTATTGCAATTTTTTTTAAAACCCCTAGTGTATTGTATGTATTTATGGAATTGTGTTGGCATATTATAAACAAAGAAAACCGATGTATATACCTTGCTCTCTGGCATTGGGCAAGAATACTTTGACATCCCCCATTCCAAATGTAACTCATCCTCCATAAGGCCACGTGGCAGGTTCCATATTCTATGTAAATCCTTTTGCCCAAACAGGTATATTGTATATCAGAATTCCAAAAATGAACGAAACCCCCATTGTAGTTAAAGCATAAACGTAAGCTCTCCAAGGGTGCTTGCTTTCTCTCATTGCGTTGAACTCGGCGATGAAAGTCGAAACTGTACTCAGACAGCCCAGAAATCCCAACTGTATCCCCATTGCAACAGTTCCGAAGTTCGTGTTATTTACCTGCACCACGTCACAAGTGAGGCTGGCGTATTGCGGATAAAAAATATATGTAAAGAAGCCATTCAATGAACCCTTACCGATTTTTCCAACGTCGAGAGCCCAGCCATTATAGCAGCAGCTGAAACATTAGCGCTGAATGTCCCGAATGGAAACCATCTCAGAATCCCAGACTTCCCTAACCCGTGTCCGTTAAATCGAGCTAAGAACCACCTGATCCACACTCCAAAAGAAGCAACTAAGCAAGCCAGCCACAGCTGAGCACCACTGCTACCACTGCCAAATTCCTTCTTGAGCAGCGATCCACTTACACTCAATAAAACGCCTAGAACTAACAATAACACCACCATTGCAGCCAAATGACGTCTGAAGCTGTTCAGCCTCCATTTACGGTAAATGATAGGTTCTTCCTTATTCGTGCTAGTATTCAGCCTTTTGAGAATCCACCGGAAACCCTTGGCTGTCTCGATCCCGAAAATTATGGAATAAGCTGCAAGAAACAACCCTGCAAGTAAAGAGTTTCAACTTTTATAGATGGTTTGAGCCAAGTAAAGACCATTTTGTTCTTTAGTTTTGAATATGCAAACAAAAACTCTTAAACAGACACACAGAACATTACCTACAAGAAACCCAAGTATAGCTTGCACCCAATTGCCATTTACACTGAGATCAAGCATTTTTTGATTCCAACCACTGAATGTCGTGACACTTCCCAAAAATCCTGTAGTCAATCCGATTGCCAAAATATCCGATAGTTGAGATATGTCGCCTTTGAAAACAACACCCCACCACCCCATCAAGAAAGAGCCAACCTGTACGAATATGTAGCCAGTTCATGAGAGAAAAAAAAACTTTGAAGATATTCATAGGAAGTGAAAAAACAGAAATCTGAAGCAAATGAAAATCTATTTTGGAAGTGCAAAAACCGAACTTTGAGCCAATCTATCTTAAAAATTGGTTTCGCTAACCAAACGGAGGAAATTGTAACTGCCTCAGGTTATCTTAAAATCAATTAGTTATATCCACATTGATTTAATTAAATATCCAGAATTTACAGATTTGGATTAAGTGCTTTGAGCATCACATCCACAGCATAAGCCTCGCATCAGCATTCAAGAAGAGAAGCTCCCACCAGTCAGTCTAGCATATCATCGATATACCGTTTTCAATATCATGCATGCATGGCTGTATCAGTTTGTGCGTGCACCCAACAACTATAAATTGTCATTCATTGCAAACAATGTGTATGTGTGTTGGAAAGAGAGACATACCATATTAGAAGGAAGGTTGGGGTATATAATGCTCTGATTGCTGGTCACACCTGAAACACTCGGTCCGAAAAGTTTTTCAAGCAAATATCTTGTTAAAACCTGAAAACTATCAAAAGTCAGTTTTACCAATAAAAAATATTCTTCCCAATGTTATAAAAGATCAGGATTAGCCATTAAAAGAATATGGTTCCTTTAAGATAACTGACATAACAATATGGAAAATTTGGAATCAAGAAATGTTAAAATTGGATCTTTACAGGTGACATGAAGGAATAGGACCTCAAATGCTAACCCTTACTAGTACAATAAAGCAATGGCAACTAACTATTACTTGTGCAAATTTATAACACTGACACAAGGATAGATGTAAGAAAAATCCCTTTTATGCTTATTTCCAATAAAACTTTGAAACTTAACATCTCTTTTCACCGATTATCTACAAAAAGAGATAATAAAATAGAGAAAAAGGTCGAGCATGATCCAACCAAATAACTTTATTCAGTTTTTCTATACGGTAGCATTGCAGCCATTTCTGACATTGATGACAATGAAATATCAAAACCTTGATGATCACAATGCTCAAGCAATCAATACAAAAGCTATGAAATTCACTAATGATCTGGTAGCTAAAGTCTTTTGACCAAATGAATTGATATTATAGGCTTCAAGATGCTACACTTCGAGAAAGAAGAAGCAATTCAAAGTAAAAATATAAATGGCAGATATCTTTGTATTCAATAAATGTAATAATGAAAAGGAACATATATAAGTATCCCATCCAATGAAATAATTTCCTGGTCACCAATCTAATTGTCTCAAGAATAGAAGCTCGGATACATTACCCCAAGAATTCCAAAAACAGCCAAATGGATAAGGCATGATACATATTCCATTAAGATCGGTAGTCCTTGTTTTTCCTGCCCATGGAAGTGTGAAGCACATAATTTATTTGTATTATCAGAGCCTGACTGAAATTTGATATTCATGCTATCACTAACAATCACGCTAACAGAAAAAATTAACTTAAAGCTCACTTGTTTGTTATCTCCAGGGCCCTTCAGTGAATCAATTGGAAGGGGAAATATGACATCCTCTCGCACAGGTGACGCAACAGAGACTTTATGCAAATCCGCTGGATGAATAGGAGGCCCACCTTCCATTCCAAGATCAAGAGATAAGCGGCAACTACTGTTCCTTTGGCTGTGAAGGGCCCGATCACCAATATCCCCAGCCTCCGAAACGGACTCGCTTTGGATTTCATCATCGATATGTAAGGACACGACACTTGACATACTAATAGATCGCTTCCTTAATGAAGAGCCAAAGCTGCTTGTCCTGCTAAATGCTCCAGTTCTTTTAGGTTCAGGGTTATTAGTAACATGATCCATAACTCTCCTGCCAGAAATATCAGATATATTACTATTAGTGTATCTTTCACAAAAAAAGAAAATTTGTGATGTTTATTCATACACAAAAGAAACATGAAACATCTCCTGATGATGATATGATTGGGTTAATTATACTCACATAGTCACAGCATCGATAAATGATCTGTAAAGTACTTTGTCAGACTGAAGTCCATACTTATAACAACTCAATAATTAATTACATATACACAGATACTCATAATTAAAACACAATCTGAAAGACAAAAGCAAAAGCATATAGCAACTGCATTTCTCAGCATTATAGAATATGTGCTCAACAGATGATAAAATGCAAGATAAAGGATACCTACTCAGACTGTTTGCTAAATATTTCAAACATTGAATAGGAAGAAATCTAGTTTATTTTCAAGAAAAAATCATTTGCATGACTTGCTTGCGATTAAAAAAAAACATACGCATCACCTAACACTGATCTTATTTGAAGATTTCCCACACTACAATAGGTGATCCCTAAAGATAAGCAACCTTAATTTTAAAAATTATAAATTACAAACTAGTTACGGCGAAGGTCATAACCAAATGATAGCTACTTATTATTTATAAAATCAGGTCTCAGAATTCAAATCCACATGACTACATTTTAGGAAAGGTAAATTTCCATAACATGAATGCTAAAAATTAGCCATTTACAAGTTCAGTCAAGAAAAAGGTTAGCAAGAACCAATCAAATGCTGAAATACAAGGATATTTAACAATTTAATTATTAGTATTGCTCGTATACTTTTCAGACATTCAAAACATATCAGAAACCCTTGTAAAAACTTCTTTTGTCCTTTCATTTCTCATTTTAAGAATGTTAAAACAAATATACAACAAGTACTAAAGTTTTGATAGTTCTTATCAAATGAGGATGGCAGCCATAAAAGAATATCAACCAAAGAAAGGGGTACCAATAATTGAAGTGGTTAATGTAAAGTGAGGTAGAGGACATGATAGACAATTAGATAAGACAAACAAACTATGAAGGCATGATTCTTTTCTGATAATCTTCCATTACATTCAAGTGGTTGTGGATCCCACGTTTCATAAAGAAAAAGAGTAATAGTGCTTTACAAGAAACTTTTGAAATTTAATGGGGAACAATCTCAATAACCATAAAATTAACATCCGTTTCAACAATTCAAAGATGTGTCCTTCAATATCATACCAAACCAGAAAAAAAAAAAAGATGAAAAAGTTACATTAAGTTTTAGGGTTCTGGCTGAAATTCCTTAAAATATTCTTTATGGAGCAGAAATCTTAAAAAGCCGAAACTTTTCCATCTTTTGCACTAAAATAATAAGAACAGCATATCTATGATAACGTAACAACAAATTAAAAACCCAGATAAATAAAAAGAGAAACTACATGAACAAAAGCTGATATAATTAAAGAAACATGAACAAAAGTGCGAAATGAAATCACAGCTAAAGGTTAACTTTACTGCCATGAATTTATTACTAATAATAATAAAGGAAAAGTCGCATACCGAATACTAATAGTTGAAAGTTTGTATGAACCAGTAAACTAGCAACTGAAAAAAATGAATAGAGAGGATTCAAAACAAATGCGTCAAGAACAAGAACCAGTGGAAAGGTTTGGGATGTAAAAGTAGAGACGAAATATACAAAAAGATAAACCAGAAAATGGGTTTTAATAGAGTTGAATGTTTTTAAATGTTTCAGAAGAATTAAAACAGAGAATGTTGATGGGGGAGATATTAGGGATGGGTATGGGTCGGGTTTGGTCGGTTTCGACCAACCCGACCAAACTCAAAAATCTTTTATTCGATCAAATCCGAAAAATATATACTCTTTACTCAATCTGAAGTTAATTCGATTTTTCAAGATAAAATCTGAATTCGATCTGAATCGACACTAAATAATAAAAAATATTATTTTTATTCAATAAAAATAATGATTTAATTGAAAAAATAATATATAAAGGGTATTATTGTAATTATTCCTAAATATAAGGTAAAATTATATTTTTTCGGGTCGGGTGTGATATTTTTCACTCTAAACCCAAATTCGACCCGACACAAACATTATCTTTAAAAAATTTGACTCAACCCGAATCCAAATTTCTTATAAAAAACAACTCAATCGGGTCGGAACCATGCCATCCCTAGGAGATATTTTTTTTTTTGAAAAAATGAGATATAGATTGCGGGAAAATGGAAAAAATAAGGGTAAACTTTGCGTATAATACTTAAATTATCAATTTTAGTTTGTTTTAATACCTAAATTTTTATTTTTTTTAAAAAAATCATATATAATATTTAGTTTTTATTTTATTTTTGTAAGGCATTGCTAAAGATTCAACAGACGAGTTGACGTGGCATAGCTTCGATGAATGGACGACCAATTTGAATGGTGGACTACGATGGAATAACGAGTCAACCAACAAAATCCGATTTTAGGTCTATCAGACGTTGGATCATGGAGATTGGATGATGAAGAAATCGAAGAGTTCATCGTCAATTTGTGGAGAGTAAGGCGTTTCTCAGTGAAATAGAGGGCGGAAATTTTTTAGGGGTCGAAAAGGTGCGAACTAAAAAGTTAGGCTTCATCGACAGACGGATGCAACAATCAACGACTGTAAACGTGGTGGTCAGCGAGTTTGTCAGTTAAATTTTTAACGGTGGATACGAAAATGAAATAAAAGCTACACATTAAGTATGATTTTGAAAAAAATGAAAATTTAAATACTAAAACAAATTAAAACTGATAGTTTAAGTACTAAATATATAATTTACCGAAAATATGTAAATCAATAACAATGTAGTATTTCTTAATTCCCGTTATACAGCTTGACTTTCTTGCCTTAAAGTTTGACTTGAATTTCTTTTTAATAAAATAGATTAGGTCGGTGTAATAAGTTAATACGATATTGTTTTAATTAAAAAATTATTTTAAAAGAATAATTAATATTAGAAAAGGTATATTTTATTTGTTATACTTTATATATTTTTTAAATAAAATAATGAAAAACTTAATTAAATAATCGAAATTGAATTTAATGAATTTTATATAAAATTATTTTATTATTAATAATATATCTCAATTTTTTATCCAAATATATCTCGTTTAAAAATATTTTTTTTCATTTTAATAGGTATTGTAGATTATTTCTCAGTTAGTATATTTTTTGTCATGTAAAATAAATGTACATTATGAAATAAGCACGAAAACGCTCTTTGAAAGATCACTCTATAAAATTATCCAGAAAAAAGATCACTCCATAGGACGCCTCTTTTTTTTTACGTGACAACAACACGGCTACATGTTGGATTGAACTGAAAAAAATATGAAAAAGAAATACGAATTTTGTTCAAAAAGAACAAACATGAGCTAGGTGATGACACATATATTAACCTTCTATTCAATCACTCAATAAATATATGTTTAAAATGTTATATGTAAACACTTGAAAAATAACATATGTAAACAATTTGGGATTTGAAAAATCTCACGAGCTTATCAAATCTCACATTATTTAGATACGTAAGTTTTCAAGTATTTAATATATAGCTTTTTAAATATGTATATATTGTGTAACACCCCAACCCGTATTCGACCCGGATCCGAGTCCGAAGTGTCACATTGACTTTTCAAAACATTTACTTGTATAAAATAGTGAGTAATTTAAAATTTTTATAACATATAACTTATTCAAAACATTTACCGAACTATTCAGAGCTTATACAATATATTATTTTGAATACATGCCAACTAGAACTTTATATATTAAAATACATATTATTCCCCTTTCTTTTAATCTTACATTCGGTAAGGAGAACATACCTGTCTTGCTCCACATTGCTCTTTCCTCTTTTCACTTCTGTAACCTACGTGTGAAACAATCACACGCTAAGTCTATGACTTAGTCAGACATATAAATACATATGTAAATTATCAAATGCATGTACATATCATGTAATACAACGTCATACTTGTATACATACTTTTTCATGTAACAATTACATACACACATGCATGTCATCATTTATATTTTCTCATACTCTTATATGATTATCCTTTCTATCTCTTATCTCTTGTTCATATGATCTCTTATTTTCATATTCTATATCTTATAACATATACAATGATCACTACCACACATATATCATATAATTCATATCAAAACACATATATCAGTTCACAACCGAACACACATCGTATCGTATCAATTGATTTATTTACTCTTTAAAGTCTATGTATTAACACATGTATACTTTTGAGAACTTAAGGTATGTGAGTACATTGAGGTTGTGCACCACTATGCTGTCACCACAGCTCGTATAAATGTCCTAAAGGACCTATCCAGAGGTCATAAAGAACCTCGACAACTGTCCATAGGTCCCGAAGAACCTAGGTAAACTATCCATATGTTCCTTAGAACATAGGTATATTGTCCATATGTCTCGAAAGACATAGGTAATTCTGTCCATATGTTCCGTAGAACATAGGTAAACCCTCGACTATTGGTATGCCAACTATACCCCTAGCTCTCATATCACCTAACATGGGCATTATATTCATATCACTTCTCTTATGATCACATGTTCCTTTTCTTCTGTCACATACCATATATATGTGTAAAACTCTATCTCATATCACATAACATGTAATACCAGTGCATGTAATCACGTATTAAATTTAATCACATAGATCATCTCATATGGTTTATATTATTTCTCATTTGTTCATGTACTTATGTCATATCAACACGTAATTCATTGTCACATATCACGTAGCTTATGTCGCATAACTTGTATCACATATACACATTCATATCACATGTTCATATAAGCTCCTAATTTCTTTCACATTTACATATAACCATGTAGCTTCTTTTCACGTAATTCATGTCACTTTTCATTTATCACATATAACATGGCTTAATATATGTTTGTATTCTTTTTCACCTAATCACATCTACCTCTTCTCATATATCTCATACATAATCTCTATTATATATACATTCATTCACTTATCTTATAGTTATGTATCATATTACATAATTTAACTTATATCATATTATCATGTGTACATATATCATGGATACTTAACATGTATCATATAAACATGTATTTACACATGTCATTAACACATGCAACAATCAATAACACACATGTAACATATCAAACATATGCTCATATTGATGAATTCATGTATTTTACTATAGGAAATAAAATTGTCACAAGTCTTATTTCCATTAAATATAATACACTATCTAATATGCACTCACCTTGGCCTCACTAAGTTCCAATCCCATTTTATGATTTCTTTTCTTTCGATCGAATCTTAACTTGATAATCGTTTCGGAACTTGTTCGTGCTCGATATCTACACAATCATGTATTTATACTATCAGTATCCAATAGATATACTATAAACTATCATTTCTTAGACTGAGAGAAAGATTTATTCCATTTCTATTGCAGTGCATCGATACATTCTACAATGTATCGATGCATCCCTTAACATGTGCATCGATGCACTGCCCATGCATCGGTACACAAATTATATTCGATGTTTCCATTTTAAGGGGATGCATCGATGCACGAATTACATTCGATGCTTCTTTAATTGAGAGTGCATCGATACACATTGAAGATGCATCGATGCACAAAACCCAAAAATTCCATTTTGAGCACGAATTGCCTTATTTTGCCTTCGAATTCTACTTATCAACCCCTCCTTATGCCTTAAAACTTATCTATACATATGTAAACCTTCTTATAACACTATAACTCTTCACCATCTCTCATAATTCACCATATTCTTATAACACTATAACTCTTCACCATCTCTCATAATTCACCATAATTCTTGAATCAAGAATTTCATCAAATTTCCATGTATTCTAATTCAATTCTATCACTTCTAACTTCTTATTAACCCTTTGACAAGTCAAATCCATCTTTAGAACTTTAAAAACCTTTCTATAACAAAAGTTCATTTCTACACCCTTTATATAATTTCCTTTTTAATTCTCTATTCTTGATGTTTAAAGCTTATATAAGCTTTCCTTAAGCTTATATAATACTCAAAGAATCAAAAGCAACTTATAAATCCAAGAATTAAACAGCTGAAATTAAACTCACATTTAACTGAGGCTTACGGGGAGAAGAAGAAGCTGAAGAAGAAGAGTCTGGATACATTTCCTCATTTCCCACGTTTTTATATACCTTAAAAAGAGAGAATAAAAATCTTCTTAGAAAAGACCATAATACCCTTGTTACTTTCCAACTTTACTATTAAATCCAACATCAAATTTCTTCAATTAAATCCATGAACTTTTAACTTAATTTGAAATCGAGCACATAGTTTTTAAAATTTGCAATTTGGTCACTAACACTGATTTGGGATTTTACATATTGAGTGATTGAACATAAGGTTAATGCACAGGTATTATTGATGTTACCCAGCTCGTGCTTGTGCTTGAGTAATTATGTATCTTTGACATGCACCACATGCATTTGTTTTTTTAAATCATATAATTTTCTTTCACATTTTCTATCTCTATTTTTCTTTTCTTTCATTTTAGTCCAACTTTAA